AAAAAGTGTATCAAACAGTCTTCAGTATTAGATCAAAGCTTCTGAATCAGTTGGGTGTCATCTGATGAGACAGTACAGTATGAGGATTTCCAGGCAGGTATACATAGGTTAACAAAAATATTTTCAGCATGATGATGTTTTACTTGGAAATGGGGGACCGTTTTCTTGGCACATGACTTACTGTATCGTCCTAATGTCCAGAAGTGCACCTTAATTAATGTAAAATATTTCAAGATAATTTCCCCCCCTAAATTGACAAATCCTTTGATTCAGTTGCAATGTTTCAAATTTCAAACGAAGTACTGGAGAGGCAGATTTGAAAGGCACATAAGATATTTGCGTTTAGCACGAGGGGGCATTTATTCAAAAATCTTGAGAAACACTGCGCTAGGCACTGGAGACTATCCAATTAAACTATCTGGCAGGTGATTCAAGATAAAGAAAGTATTTCAACACATGTGGTATTAACTGACTTCTACAACTCACTGCCACGATTTGTGGTGATGCCTACTTTGCTAAGAAGCTTTAAAGTCAAATGAGACACACCTACACCTCCCAACAGCTACTAGTCATGATGAGTGTACAATTTCACTAAATGCCACCAGCAGCTGGGAGCAACCATAGAAGAGGTCCCTTTCTGTCATGTCCTGCTTGCAGGCTTTCCAAAGGTACCCAGTTAGTCAGAGAGTGGGAAACAAGATGATAAAGTAGATGGATCATTGGTCTGATCCACTGGACTCTTCCTCTGTTTTTGTGTGAGTGTGGAAAAACTACATAGTTTTTTGAACTACCCATACTAGCTGGAGGATTCTACTGATCGTTGTCAAAAGAAGTAATGTTTCCAAGCTCTGGGTCTTATATTTTGGAGGTTGCATACAAAATACATCAGCACACACACACCCTCCATTGTAGAGGTGTGGAATGGATGTAAGTTACTTCCCTTTGCAGAATTTGAAATTGCATTTTAAAAATTCTTACAGTGAGACTGAGTTTGACAGGAGGGGGGACATGTGTGCAAAGCACTGTTTATTAAGCATTTCCAGAGAACAGGGTTGCTGACAAGGAATCCTAAATGCTTAAAAAAAATACAAATTCTATTTCTTTTTCACATGCTATTCACATTAATGACATCAATAAAAAATGCAAGAGTGACTCACTAGCATTTCCTGAAGGATCAGATGAAACACATACATTCCATGCTCTCCCCTCCTTCTCTTGCACTAATTCTCATTCATGGCTCATCTGCTTTAAGTAATTTGCTTAGTTGTAACATTTGAATTAGGAAACTGTAATTAATGATGATCTTTAAACCATCATCCACAATCATAATTTGAATTTGGTTTGCAATAATAATCTGGAGGATATTGCTAATCATAACTACCTGTACTGGACATTATAACAAACTATGGTTACAGCTATCTGGAAATGCTGAAGAAATTGAGATATGCAGAAGTGAGAATACTGTATAGGTCTGCGGCAGTTCTTCCATGGTTTGTAAGATTACTGAAATGTATTTGTATTTATTTAATAGAATGAATAATATTTGCCTTTCTAGGATTCAAAATGGCATATAGCAACAAATCAAAACAAACTCATCAACTAGCCCAAATTCACAGTATCGGTAAGAACAGACAAATCTAGCTAGCTCACCCAAAGGCCAGATAGAAAAGATTGATTCTCTACATCCTGCAGACTGTCAATTAGGAGAAAGGAACTGCAAATGCAGAATCCATTCTACTGTCTCAAAGTAAAAGATACAGAAGACATACACCCTACCATGGAAGCCCTTGCTTTGTATGGAACTAGAACTCAGAGGAGGACCTGAGATCAAAGCTGGTGTGGTGATAATTTAGAAGGAGGCATCTTCTGAGATGTGTAGGATCCATGCTGTGAAGGGGTTTACAGGTCAGCTCTCTGAACCAAATGTGGAAGTATATCAACAGCTGGTGCAGATACAATAAGATTAACTGAACAGCTGTGTCTTCCCATTTATGTAAAATGAGTAGCTTTTTGCAATAGTGCCCTGGATCCGTTCCAGTCGGGCTGCAGGCCATGCCATGGTACAAAAATGGCATTGGTCTCCCTGTTTCATGACCTATTGAGGAAGGCTGACAGGGGCAAAATGTCTCTGCTGGTCCTCCTTGATAACTCAGCTGCCTTTGATAATGTCGACCATGGTATCCTCCTGGGGAGGCTCTCTGAGTTGGGAATTGGTGGTCTGGCTTTTGCCTGGCTCCATTCCTTCTTGGAGGACCATCTCCAGAGAGTGCAGATTGGAGAGAGTTTCTCAGCCCCGTGGAGTCTCAATTGTGGAGTTTCACAGGGTTCGATTATTTATTTTATTTTAATTTTTCTATTTATATCCCGCCTATCTGGTAACATGACCACTCCAGGCGGCTCTCCAATGCTGTTTAACATCTAAATGAGGCTGCTGGCAGGGGGCATCAGGGGGCTTTGTGTCATCAGTATGCTGATGATACCCAGCTCTGCATCTCCTTTTTTCAAACAACAGTGGATGCTGTTTCGTCCCTTGAACACTGTCTGGAGGCCTTTCAGCAATGGATGCAGGAGAATGGACTGAGGCTCAACTTGGGCAAGTTGGAGGTCCTGAGGGTGGGTGGCCCAGACATCAGTGGTTTCGGAAACTCCTTCTCTTTGAGGGGGTGACTCTTACCACCAAGAGTGAGGTTCGCAGTTTCGGTGTACATCTGGACCCAGCACTCACCGTGGAAACCCAGGTGGTGCCAGTGGTCTGTTCCGCACATTTTCCACCTTCGGCGGATTGCCCAGCTGAATCCCTATCTTGATGTGGGGGCACTCACCAGTTTGGTCTATGTGCTCATAGTCTCAAGATTAGACTATTGTAATGCGCTGTACATGGGGATGCCTTTGAGACTGACACGGAAACTCCAGATGATGCAGAATACGGCGACCAGCCTTCTTACAGGGGTGAAGAGGTATCACCGTATTTCCCTCACTCTGGCCACCGTACATTGGCTGCCCATCCACTTCTGCGTTGATTTCAAAGTTTTAACGATGACGTATAAAGCCCTAAATGGTTTAGCACCACAATATCTGGCAGAACGTTTCCTCCCTCCCAGTTCTGCCAAAGTCACTCGTTTCAGCCAGGCCGGGTAGCTGAGGGGCCTAATGCCAAGGGAGGTCCAGAAGGAAAGAATGAGGAACTAGGCCTTCTCGGCAGTGGCCCCTTGCCTTTGGAACAACTTGCCTGTGGAGATTCCCTGGCTCTCTCCCTGGGTGTTTTCAGGAGCAAAGTTAAGACCTGGCTATTTGGGCAGGCTTTCCCTCTTGCCATATTTTTAATTCTGACATTTTTGTCATCTTGGATTTATAGTACATGTTTACTGGTTTTGCTGTTTTTAAATTTGTAAACCACCTAGAGTAGACCGTTAGTCTAGATGGGTGGGACAGAAGTCTAATAAAAATTTAAAAAATAGTTGAAGCTTGAAGGATAATCCCACATAGAATACATTGGAGTAGTAAACCTCTGAAAACTACAAAAGAATGAACTAACACTGCAAGATCATCTATGCTGAATAATTTTGAATCAAAGACACCTGGTAGAAAGCATTTTAGTTAGGTAGAAAGCATTTTAGTTTGCAACAATCTGCTTCCAAATTCATGGCTAGATTTGAGGAAAAAGCAGCAGTAGCAGCAGCTCCCCCAACCTGTTAGGTAAACTATAACCCCACCAATAACAGGAAAACTGACCTCCTCAAAAACTCAAAAGAACCAAAACACAGAACTCTAGCTTGACGAAAGGCAATTCTCTTTCATTTACTCATGGATCCAAATTGATTGACACAGGTACATGTGGGCTGGTGTGCCAGATAAAAATGTGACACCAATCAAATAGAACAACAACTTAAGAGACTAACTGGTTACTTATTGCTATAAAAACAAATCCTAAAATACCAAAGCATTTTTACAGCAATCCAAAAAAAACGCAATATACACAGGATCAGGAAGAATTGTGCAAGCAACTGAAGCTGAACTTATGGATGTTAACTTACCACTTTTTCCTACTGTAAAGCCAAGTTTAAAAAATTACTATGGCTTGTCTTGTCAGCACTGAAGACTGCTGTAGTGAGGAAAAATCTCTGATTATACTTCCAGGTTTTATATTAATATATGTTGCTTCATTAAATTCCAGCCTTTGACAGTAATGCTGGAATACACTACTGCTACTTTGTGACCTGATTGCATTCACGTCTCACAAGAACTTCAGTTTAGAGGACCATCATCTACAACAACAGCTGCTCACGAGTCCTTTTGCACACTGGGCTTCCCCTACCCCATAATTCTTTTTCACCAATAAAGTTTGATTTGATTTAAATCAAATTCGGAATGGAATGAGCTTATCAGTAGATCCAGAGCTCAGGATGTTACATTTTATAAAGAATTCTTTATAAAATGTAACATCCTGAGCTCTGGATCTACTGATAAGTCTTTCAATGATTTGAAGTAGAACAACATAAGGTTCTGAGTCCCAGTTTTAAAAGGAAATTGTTTCCTTTCCTTCTTGACAGTCAGGCTGCCCTTACTGTTGCTCCAAGCACACAAGAAACTCCTTGTTGTGTGTGTTTATCAATTCTTTGGGTTGCTATTTGCGGACCAGAAAAATACAGGAAAAGTCTCTCTGGTGGCCAGTTCTGATACTGGGCCTTAGAAACATATACACAAAAGGCAAAACTTCCCTTGCTATGTAGGACTGATAAGAGAATGGCATACCACTCAAATAATTTGTGTCAAAATACCTTTTTAAAAACCCTTGAAAATAACTACTTGCTACTCATTACATCCAAATAACTTAACATTACTCATGAGACTACCAAGCATTTTCATGTTTATTGGCTCCATTTCTGGCTACCCAAGCCTTAAACTGTTACAGGTAAGTAGGGTTTTTTTCACAAGTACATAATTTCTGAGCTGTGAGGAGATCTCATTTCCAGCCTAGCTTCGATTCACTGCTAACTTACCCTACTTGCTGCCAGGCGATCTGGCAACTGGAAAATGCTGGGCTAGGGGAAGCCACCAGCGGGACTGAAGCGATGAGACTCGAGTCGACTCAGCAGGAGGAGCAGAAGAGTTCCTACACGCGCCGGCGCTGCTTGCTGCCTTTTGAACCCAGGGCAGTCGTTACACAGTCCCTTCTGAAGCAATGTAGTGCGTGTGTCAGCCAAGAGTGGTACACCATTAACAGCCAGCATCTAGTATCACATAACCGCACTAATGGAGCAGAGCAAAAAGCAAAGTACTCGGGAGCGGGGGGGGAAGGTGAGGAAGAAGAGTGAGGAAAAACTCTTATCAAATGTTAGCAACAGGAGGAAGTTGCAAAAGAACAAAACCTAAAGGCAACCGAAACGCCTAACCTAAAGATGGCTGGGGCGGGGAGCTGAAATCTCTCCCACTGCGGAGGCAGGCGAAAGGCGCTCTCCGGAGTTTGAGAGAGAGCTCGGCGCTGTGAGGTCGCCCACAGGTGGCTTGAGAGAGAGGTTGCGGCTACTACAAACGCCACGCTCGTCTCCACCTCCGTCGCCGCCTTCAGCTCGAGGTCACTAAGGGCGCGGCCGCCTTCTCGCGCCCTCCTCCTCCTCCTCGCTCGAGGTTGCTTTCCGCTCGAAGAGGAAGGCGCTGCTTAGCGCAGCGAAGGAGAAAAAGAAACAAACAAATGGTCGTACCCCAGGCGCTGCCTCGGGCGGGCGCGCGGGCGCGCGCGCGCGCACGCACCTCTTCCCAACCGGGCGCGCGGGGGGGGGGAAGTCTCTTCTTCCCGCCAGTGCTGAAGACCGAACGTGTGGCCCCTTCGCCACCTGTGACACGGAAAGGGGTCTCAGAAACGTGTCGCGGCGAGCGCCATGGATGCGGGAAGGATGAGGGACGGTTCAAAACAAAAAACATTCCCAACTCCTGTCTTTTACAGGGAATGGTAGAGTGGAGCCAAAGGTCGCGGGAGCAATGTTCGGGGACTTACAGAGTAGCAAGGATCGTGATACCATTTGTCATCTCTCTTAGCCCTCAGTGACTGGGACGGAAATGAATTTTTCCAGGAAAAGTATACAGTATTGTTTCATGTTGTCCCTGCTGTAATACAAAGAATTTGTGGGCGCCTTGGTCTTGAATGTGCAATCAAGGGGTCTTAGCTTTACAAAAGACCTACTTCTCATTTCCTGATATGGATAGATGCAGGTGCCTTCACCTTTAGATTCTTACACACACACACACACACACACACACACCACTACTAGTTGTTACAGATGCCAGAAGCTGATGATACTGCAAAGGAACAGAATATCAATTGAACCAAAGGTTACAGTCATTGTGCCATTAGCCATACTGGGTGGAGCTTCTGGAAACAAACACTCAAAACATTTGAAGAGCCATGTTCTCCCCACTCCTGCTCTAGATCTTGTTGGTGTAAATTGACTGGAGCTGTCTAAGGTCCTACAACTCAAGGATTATGCTACCTGCTAAGTTTACTCGATGAGACCCCAGCCCCATTAATCATACAGGAAAATAGATTTGTTAAACTCCCTGTGCGCCTCACCAAAGTTCAAAAAGCACCTAGAGACTCCACACAATGTCTGCTCAAGTGTATTGCCTGCCTCCTACATTGGGACACTCCATGTAGAGAGCACCATTGCTCCTTTGTTTTAGTAGCTATTAGGCTGAAGAAAAACAAGCATGATGGTGCTGCTAACTAGTTTTTAATCAAGGGAAAGAGTTCTGTACTATTGGCCTGCCAGATATTTTACATTTCAACTTCCAGAATCCCTGGCTATTGGTCATGTTGTCTGAGATCTCAGGGAGGTGAAGTCCCAAATATCTGTGGGGCCACAGGTTGAGAACTGTGATCCTACAGATATTTGGGACTTCAGCTCCTCTGTGGTTTAAGGCCTAGTTGTTCCCTCTTTAACTGGGATTCCAGTATTTCCATCATCCCTCTTTCTACAATTAAATGCAGAATTCTGATATAAAGTTTGTATAGGGGAGGATGGCAAACCTTTGGCAATCCAGATGTTTTGGACTTCCACTCACCTAGCCCTTTATCATTAGCAATACAGGCTGTGGACTCTGGGAGTTGTAGTTCAAAATTTCTGGAATGCCAAATATACTACACTCCTGATACAGGATCACACTATGAGAGGTATGTATAAATTACAAGTATGATTCAGTGGAGGACATGCACACTCATATGCACATACAGTACAGTAAACACTCCAGTGGCATCTAACTTCTAATATAGAGACAGAGGGGTAGATAGTGATCAAAGAGGTGGCACAGACTTCTCTGTAATGGCCTGCCATAGTACTTTCATATTTCCTAAGCGCATAAACTAAAGAGTGGTTCATGTTAACAATGAGGTAAACCAACATTAGTTATATGTTCTTATAACAAATGTTTACATTTTTAATGTTGAGTTTTGAGTCAAAACGTTATTTTTCATAGTATTGCATTAATCAAAGGACAAAGTTGCTACAAAGCCATTAAATAGACATGCATACACAGCTGCATATGTAGGAATACTAAATGAAGTAGCACTGTACTATAAAATAAGGCAATAAGAACCTCCTCTAAGAAGTCTCATGTGTCTCAATGTTAATGAGAATATAAGAAATAAAGAAGTCTGTTGTCTGTTTGTTTGTTTGTTTACATTTTATCGTTCCCATCTAGTGGCATTGCTACTACTATGGGCAGCTACATACATAAAACAAACATAAAACCAACAACCCCCCACAAATAAACCTCTCAACAAAGAGAGAAAATACCCAAAAAGTAAAAATACCCCAGCAGTGACAGCAGACAGAAAACAAATTAAATGCTACAACATAATAAGCTATCTTGAAAAACTTCTCTGAAATGCAGCATTTGGACAGATTTTCTAAATGCTAGGAGGGAAAGGACCTCGACACCTCTGCTGGAAGGGTACTGTGATCCATGATACTGAAGACTGCTGAGAGGTCCAGGAGGACTAACAAGGTTACACTCCTGGGGTCGGCCTCCCTTAACAGGTCATCCAGCAGAAGAGTGACCAAACTGTAAGAAAAATCCTTAGGTTTTGATAGGCAGGCATGAGTAGACAGCTGTAACACAAGAAACAGATCATTCCATTAGCAGTTAACAATAGTAGGAACCTAGCCCAAAGGAAATGCCTCATTCCTGCCAGCCAGTTCACATTGTTAATGCTGGGAAATCTTGTAAGGAAAAAAAATGTAATATTCTTCACTAAAAATAAGGACAAACACTGCCTTTGATTTTTTCACAAAGGGTTTGGCTTTTGGGGTGATTTTGGCATTGCCCTTTAAAGTCAGGACAATAACAGGAATGTAATGCTTTTGTCTCCACCATGCTGCACAATAACACAAAGTTTTCTTAAATCCGACAGATTTAAAATCTTCTTTTCCACATCAGTTGTATTCTGTTGTTCGAAATTTAGTGCTGAAGTCCATGTTTAGTCCCATTATGGGTTCCTTGCAATACCGAATACCTTGCAATGTCCAAATTGGGCACAAAGTGTCAATATTTTGTGTGGCTACCATTATTTTCCAGCACTACCTTACCACTCTTGGGTATAGAATTCACCAGAGCTTCACAGGTTGCCACTGGAGTCCTCTTCCACTCCTCCATGACAACATCACAGAGCTGGTAGATGTTAGAGACCTTGCGCACCTCCACTTTCTGTTTCGGGTTGTCCCACAGATGCTCAATACGGTTTAGATCTGGAGACATGCTTGGACAGTCCATCAGGTTTACCCTCAGCTTCTTTAGCAAGACAGTGGTCATTTTGAAGGTGTGTTTGTGGTCATTATCATGTTGGAATACTGCCCTGAGGCCCAGTCTCCAAAGGGAGGGGATCATGCTCTGCTTCAGTATGTCACAGGACATGTTGGCATTCATGATTCCCTCAATGAACTGTAGCTCCCCAGTGCTGACAGCACTCACGCAGCCCCAGACCATGACACTTCCACCATGCTTTACTGTAGGCCCGACACACTTGTCTTTGTACTCCTCACCTGGTTGCTGCCACACATGCTTGACACCATCTGAACCAAATAAAGTAGCCACCAGCTTTAAAGTGAATAGATGACCATGTTTATATGACATGAATTGGCCCTTATACCTTAATTTCAGTGTGCTTGCAGCTTTATAGGTTGGATGCAACATTTTGATGAATGCCTGGAAACAATCTGGAAGCCAGTGAACTGATTTAAGTACTGTACAAACAAGCTATGGTCATTTCTGCTTCTTCCAGTTAACAGTCTTGCAGCTGGCCTCCAAGAAAATTGAAGTTTAGACATAACTTCAGCGAGCAGCCCAACTCAAAAAAACATTTTTTCAGTAATCAAACTGGGATGCTATCAATGCATGAATTACTATGGGTAAATGACACTTACTATGGTGAATGTACATGTTCACTATAAACAATTTGCTAATTTCATTTATTATTTTAGACCTAATTTCTTTTAACTGAAGCTACCCTGCAACTTCTGAATTCAGCTGTTTTAAAATCCCATTTCAAGGTTCCCAATGTTCTTTTTTTAAGGCAAAAAATTAGTTTGAGATAGTGCAATTACAAAATCTAAGCATTGTTTTAGGCATGAAAAATTAAACGCTGACTTAATAAAATACTGTATCTTGCTTTGGTTAAATAGTTAATAAATAAATAATAATGTTCACCAACTGAAAGTATTTATCAACTAATTGTGATACAACCAAAATTATACATTGAAATGGACCATTCAGTGCAGAAGACAGATGCTTTACTTTCCCATTGAAATGAATGGGATCTGTATCTAGTTAACTTTTGGTTAATTGTGCCTATTGTTGCAATCTGCTATCTGAATCCAGCTAAATCCATTTAGCTGTGGATTTTGTGATATATCCCTCCCACAACATGTCCCTGTTTAAAGTACAGTTCTATGTTCATAGAACCATTTACTGAAATACATGGGGTTGGAAAATTTACCTTTGTGGACTAAAAATCCTTATGGAATTCTGGGAATTGTAATCCAAAAAAGGAATCAAGCTTTGGTTGGGAGCCCTCCTGAGCCAAATAAAACCTGGAATAATGCCACTGTACCTTGTAGAATACTCATATCCAGTTGAGGAACTTAAATGTATAATAATGATTTTTCCCCTCAAGGCACTTTCAGATTACTGCACATGAAAAATAGCATACTATTCTATGTTACAGATATTTTTCTTGCTGTGGAAACTGTAAAATGTTTAAAAATCTGTGCATAATCTGACCTCTAGTGACAGCAGTGTAGTACAGTACTTCTAATGGCTACTTACTATATGAACTATAGGTGATGCATGTAAAGAAAAACAGAAACCTAGATGCTATATGAATACCTCAGACCATTTATCTTAAAATAAAGATGCTC